GGCGGATCACTTGAGGTCAGGAGTTTGAGACCAGCCTGACCAACATGGTGAAACCCTGTCTCTACTAAAAATATAAAAATTAGCCAGGCATGGTAGCACGTGCCTGTAATCCTAGCTACTGGGGAGGCTGAGGCACGAGAATCACTCAAAGCCAGGAGGCAGAGGTTGCAGTGAGCCGAGAGCACACTACTGTACTCCAGCCTGGGCAACAGAGTGACACTTCACCAAAAAAACAAAACAAACAAACAAAAAAACCAACCCACAAAAATGGTGGTTCAGAGGTCGAGAAAAGAATAAAGTAATCATTCAGTATCCTCAGGAGATTGGTTCCTGGATCCCCAGAGGATAAAAAAGATATCAAAAAACAAAACAAAACCGAAAAAGATATCTCAGGATGCTGAAGTTCCTCATATAAAAATTGGTGAATATCCTCCTGTGTGTGTGTGTGCGCGTATATATATATATATATATTTTTTTTTGAGACGGAGTCTTGCTCTGTCGCCCAGGCTGGAGTGCAGTGGCACCATCTCGGCTCACTGCAAGCTCCACCTGCCGGGTTCACGCCATTATACTGCCTCAGCCTTCTGAGTAGCTGGGACCACAAGCGCCCGCCATCACACCTGGCTAATTTTTTGTATTTTTAGTAGAGACGGGGTTTCACCGTGTTAGCCAGGATGGTCTCGATCTCCTGACCTTGTGATCCGCCCACCCTGGCCTCCCAAAGTGCTGGGATTACAGGCGTGAGCCACCGTGCCCGGCCATCCTCCTGTATACTTTTAATCATTGCTAGGTTATTTATAATACCTAATACAATGTAAATGCTATATAAATAGTTGTTATACTGTTTTTTATTTGTCTTTCAAAATTTGTTTTTACAACAGAGTCTTGCTCTGTTACCCAGGCTGGAGTGCAGTGGTGCAATCTTGGCTCACTGTAATCTCCACCTCCCAGGTTCAAGCGATTCTCCTGCCTCAGCCTCCCAAGTAGCTGAGACTACAGGCGCCCACCACCACACCTGGCTAATTTTTGTATTTTTAGTAGAGATGAGGTTTCACCATGTTGGCCAGGCTGGTCTCCTGACCTCAGATGATCCACTCGCCTTGGCCTCCCAAAGTGCTGGGATTACAGGCGTGAGCCACTGTGACTGGCCCAGACTCTAATCCCAGTTACTTGGGAGGCCGAGGCAGGAGAATCCTCGAACCCAGGAGGCAGAGGCTACAGTGAGCAGAGATTGCACCACTCAAGCCTGGGCAACAGAACAAGACTCCATCTCAAAAAAAAAAAAAAAAAAGATGATTGAATTATCATCCCTCAAAATTGAGAATAAGGCAAGAGTGTCTGTTCTCATTACTCTTTTATCTCTCTTTGCCTGCCCCCATCTCTGTGTGATTTGCTCCTCCTTGCTTCCTGCCATGGTTGTGAGGCCTCTCCAGCCATGTGGAACTGTAAGTCCATTAAACCTTTCTTTTGTAAATTGCCCAGTCTCGGGTATGTCTTTATCAACAGCATGAAAGCAGACTAATGCAAACAACAAAAGGAAATAAAATGCACACAGATTGTAAAGGAAGAAATAAAACTGTCCCTATTTGTAGATATGATTGTCTATGTAGAAAATCCCAAGTAATCTAAAACAAAAAAAACCTAGAATAAATTAGTTCAGCAAGGATACAGGATTAAGATAAACACACAAAAATGAATTATATTTCTATATAGTAGCAATGAACATGTGGACACCCATTTAAAATACCCTTTATAATCATTCCACAAAGAAATATATATAAGATTTATATGCTGAAAACTACGACTGATAAAATATATCAAAGACGATCTATATAAAAGGGGAAACACACAATGTTCATGGATTAGAAGATTTAACATAGTAAAAAGTCAATTATTGTCCCCAAACACCAGTTTAACACAAATCCTATCAAAATCCTAGCAAGATTTTTCTTTTGGATCTCACTCTGTCGCCCAGGCTGGAGTGTGGTGGTATGATCACTGTTCACTGCAGCCTCAACCTCCTAGGCTCAAGTAATCCTCCCACCTCAGCCTCCTGAGTAGCTGGGACTACAGGCATGCCACCACACCCAGCTAATTTTTGCATTTTTTGTAAAGATGGGTTTCACCATGTTGCCCAGGCTGGTCTGGAGCTCCTGAGCTCAAGTCATCTGCCCACCTCAGCCTCCCAAAGTATTGGGATTATAGGCATGAGCCACTGTGACCTGCCCAGACTTTTTAAAAGTAGAGATAAGATTGTTCTAAAACTTTTATGGATGACAAAAGAAGTTGAATAGCTAAACCAATTTTTACAAAGAAGAATAAAACAGGAGAAATCAGTCCATACAATTTCAAGACTTATTATATAGCTATAGTAATCAAGATTGTGTGGTATTGGAAGAATGACAGACACTGACAAATGGAACCGAACAGACATCCCAGAAATAGACCTCTACAAATATGCCCAACTGATTTTTGACAAAAGAGCAGAAGTAATTCAGTGGAGGAAAGATGGTCTTTTCAACAAATGGTGTTGATGTTTGTGGACATTCATAGGCAAAACAAAAACAAAAACAAAAACAAAACCATAAAAAGAAACTGAAAACAGATCATGGACTTTTAAGAAAAAAAATTTAGAAGAAAATTCGGAGATCTAGGGCTAGGCAAAAAGTTCTTAGCCATGACATCAAAAGCACAATCCATAAAAGGAAAAACAGATAAGCTGGACTTCTTTGAAATTAAAAAAAACTTTTGTTCTGAGATAAACCCTGTTAAGAAAATGAAGACAAGCTACAGACTGGGAAAAAAATACTTGTAAACCACATACCCCAAAAGGACTAGTATCTACAATATAAAAAGAATTCTTAAAAACTAAACAGTAAAAAAGCAAATAATACTATTAGAAAACAGGCAAAAGACAGCTGGGCGCAGTGGCTCATACTGGCATTACAGCAAAGTGCTGTAATCCAGCACTTCGGGAGGCTGAGGTGAGTGGATTACCTGAGGTCAAGAGTTCAAGACCAGCCTGGTCAACATGACGAAACCCCATCTCTACTAAAAATACAAAAATTAGCCAGGCATGGTGGCAGGAGCCTGTAATCCCAGCTACTTGGGAGGCTGAGGCAGGAGAATCCCTTGAACCTGGGAGGCTGAGGCTGAAATGAGCTGAGATCACGCCATTGCACTCCAGCCTGGACAACAAGAGTGAAACTCCATCTCAAAAAAACAAAAGAAAAAAAAGAAAAAAAAGCAGGCAAAAGACATGAGACATTGCACCTGAGAAGATACATACAGATGGCAAATAAGCACATGAAAAGAAGTCCAAGGCTGGGTGTGGTGGCTCACGCTTGTAATCCCAGCACTTCGGGAGGCTGAGGCGGGCAGATCACGAGGTCAGAAGTTCGAGACCAGCCTGGCCAACATAGTGAAACCCCATCTGTACTAAAAATACAAAAAATTAGCTGGACGTGGTGGTGGGCACCTGTAATCCCAGCTACTCGGGAGGCTGAGGCAGGAGAATCACTTGAACCCGGGAAGGGGAGATTTCAGTGAGCCAAGATCACGCCATTGTACTCCAGTCCAGGTCACACACACACACAAAGCCAGCCTTGGTGACAGAGCGAGACTCCGTCTCAAAAAAAAGAAAAAAAAAGGAAAATGCAAATTAAAATCACAATGAAATACTACTACACACCTATCAGAATGGTTAAAATAAAGTGATAACTTGAAATGCTGATAAAGATACAGGGAAACTGGATCATTCATACATTGCTGGTGGGAATATAAAATGGTACAGCCACTGTTATGGACTAAACTGTACTCTCCAAAATTAGCAAGTTAAAGTACCAAACCCAAGTACCTCAGAATGTATTAATAACTGTTTTTGGAGATAAGGTCTTTAAATAGCTGATTAAGTTAAAAAATGAGGGCAGGGCCCTAATCCAATATGGCTGAGAAAAGACACCAGGACAGAAAAAAGATCATTTAAGGATACAGCAAAGAGGTAGCCATCTGCAAGCCAAGGAAAGAGGATTTTTTTCAGGAGAATCCAAACCTGCTAACACCCTAATTTTTGACTTTTAGCCCCAGAACTACAGGAAAATGAATTTCTGTTGCTTAAGCCACCTACTCTATGGTATTTCATTATGGTGGCCCTAGGAAACTAATACAGCCACTCTGGAAAACAGTCTGGCAATTTCTTAAAAGAATTAAACCTGCAACTACCGTACAATCCAGCAATTGCACTCCAGAGAAATGAACTCTTATGTTCACATAAAAACCTGTACACAAATGTGTATATAGCAGCTTTATGTGTAATAGCCAAAAAATGGAAACAACCCAGATGTTCTTTAATGAGTAAGTGGCTAAATCCATGCCATATGGATACCACTCAGCAATGAAATGGAACAAACTACTGAGAACTGCAACCTGAATCAATCTCCAAAGGATTCTGCTGAGTGAGAAAAGACAATCCTAAAGGTTACATACTGTATGATTCCACTTACATAACATTCTTGAAATGACAGAATTATAGAAATGAAGAACAGATTAGAAGTTGACAGAAGTTAAGGAAGGATAAAAGTGGGAGATAAGTGTGTGTGGCTACAAAAGGACAACATGAGGTATTCCTTGTGGTGAAGGAAATGTTATCTTGACTATATCGATGTCAATATTCTGATGATGATATTGTACCACAGTTCTATTATGAATAGATGCTACCACTGGGAGAAACCAGGAAGAGTATATCTCCCTGAATTATTTCTGACAACCATATGTGAACCAATAATAATCTCAAAATAAAAAGTTTAATTTAAGCAAACAAGCAGAAAAAAGAAATACACCCAGTTTTCAGAAAAGCCCATTGGAGGTACAGGTAGAGATGTAGGCGAGTGTGCGTGCACACATGCGCACACACACAATACACACACACACAGCCCTCTTTAGCTGTGATAGGAAAAGGCTCTCAATTTGGACCCAACATCAAAACACCCCAATCCACTTACCTGCTTCACTTTGACTGTTGAGTAGTGAGGACTTCGGTTTCTCTTACTCCGAGGAGACTTGCTTCTTCTCCCTGAGGACTTGTTTTTCTTTTTGGGTGGGGACCTATACAGAGCATGGTACACAGGATTTTATCGCAATTTCCCTTCCCCCATAAAAATTAGCTTCCAGTATCAGGCTTACCTACTAACACAAACACTGCTTTTGTGAAGGTATCTGCCAGTCACATTAAAGGAGTCACGAGGTTCATTTTCCTAGCTCTAACGTCTCCCTTGCATTCCATACTCACATAGACAACTGTCTACTGAACCTTCTCACTTAGGTAACAAAACTCTTAATTTCCAACCCTTCAAAAACCTTTCCTCTCCTACTCCTTGCCATCTTGCTAACTGGCATCACCATCCGGAAGTCACCCTTGATTCTTTATCCCTCACTACCAACACCCCTAGCATCAGGAACAATCCCTCCATCCTGTGGTTCTACTTCCTCCCTATGCCATCTCATTCCTACCACCCACCTTCTTGACCACTATACTCCACCGACACTAGCTTTTTCCCATTTCAATCATAATTCATTCTACTTCAAGTTCTTTGCAGATGTTGTTTCCTCTGCCTGGATCTTTAAGAGGTTGAATCATTCCTATCACTCAGGTCTGGACTCAAATGGCACCTCTTTAGAGAGGCCTCCTCCCTCTTCTCTCCAATCTCTATCACATTACTGTTATAACCTATCAATAATACTTGTTATTGAAACTATTTTTTTTTTTAATCATCTGTCTCAGGGTTAGAGCATGGCCAATTTGGCACTGGTGAAGATCATCTAACTGAATCGCCCTTGCAGCCCCAATACCTAGGGCAGTCTTTCACACTTAAAATAGGCACTCAGTAAAACTATGGTGAATGAATGCATAAACAAATGAGTCTAGCAAGAAGTAACTTTTTTTATTTTTATTTTTCCAGTTTCTGTTAGGTAGCTCACCTACACCTCGATGTGAAAACCTTTCTGGCAGGTAACTGGAAAGACAAGGCCCACACTCCATTTGTGGGCGGGATGGGGAAAATCTCATTCTAATTTAACAGATTATCAGTGCTATCTGTTGGGCTACACTCCTCGAAGTGCTGGGGACACAAGAATGAAGGAGTGGGATCCTGCCGGTGTGTCATTAGGCGTTGAACACCGAGCTATAAGGCAAGTGACAGAGCAAGCATAACACAAGCACGACTGGATCACTCTCAACAGTCCCTCAGGATTAAGTCCGGGCTGCTGCGCCCAGCATTCAAAACCTGTTTCGGATGCTAGCCCTGCCCGCCTTTCTGAATGAGCCCAACCCAACGTCCATCCTGGGCTGCTCCCCCACTTACCGGCTAACTCCTCGGGCTCGGTTCCCGCGGTGGCCCGGGCGGCCCGGCTCGCTGGCCGGCGGAGACGGGCTACCGCCGGAGTGGTCCGGACGGCGGTGGGCGGGAGGTGCGACTTCTGGGCTGAGACGCTCCTGCTTCACCACCACCCCCGCCGGCAGCACCATGTCCCCGTCCCGGTGTCTTCGCCGGCTCCCTCGCTCCCGTTCGCTCTTCACCGCCTTCATTCTGTGATTTTGGCTGAGCGAAAGAAAACAGATCCGTTGAGCTCCTCTAGCTGAAGGAAATGACGAGTTTGACTCCTGGACTTCCGCTTCCGGGGTGCCCAACCTCCCAGAAATCCTCGCGGCGGATATTAAACACGTGACTACTCCCTAGTGGGCGTGGCCACAGTGACCTGCTTGGGTGGCGGGAGTTTCAAGTTTCAAAAACAAACTTTTGGCTGGGCGTGGTGACTCTCGCCTGTAGTCCCAGAACTTTGGGAGGCCGAGGCTGGCGGATCACCTGAGGTCAAGAGTTCGAGAACAGCCTGGCCAACATGGCAACACCTCGTCTCTACTAAAAATACAAAAATTAGCCAGGTGTGGTGGCGCGCGCCTGTAATCCCAGCTACTCGGGAGAATGAGGCAAGATAATCGCTTGAACCCGGGAGGCGCAGGTTGCAGTGAGCGTGGATCGCACCACTGCACTCCAGCCTGGGCGACAGAGCGAGATGTCTCAAAAACAAACAACAACAACAAAAAAAAAACTGGGAAAAAGCAAACCTCTCAAGACTGTTTGTTGCCACATTATTAGTAATTACAAAACGTGGAAACAATGTAAATACCCAGCAGTAGGGAAGTTAGCCAAACTAATGGGTGTTATGTGGCCATTAGTAAACCATTTACAAACTTTAAAAACCCTGACTTGTTAATGACAAAGCAGGATACAAAATTGTGCGCAAACTATAATTACATTTACATTTGGAAATAGAAGGGAGGAAGAAATGGAAATGCAATCAGAGATGATAACCCGTGGGCAAATCATTAGCTTTTCCTCTTCTATTTCCTGAACTTTTTGCAATGCTGTTGGGGCTCAGAAATCGAAACCCCAAAATATGGCGCACTGACATGCCGAACTGAAGAAGCCTCAATGTTCCTTCCCGGTGCCCACCGTCTCTCCCAAAGCGCAGGTCTTTATCTGCCTAAGATACAGACTACCAAAAGGAATAATTGTTTCTTTCTTCTCCTCCCAAGAATGTAATCACACCTGACCAGAGACCCTTATACTGTCAAAAGTAGCTATTTACAGCCGAACACGGAGGCTGCAGCCTGTAATTCCGGCCCTTTGGGAGGCCAAGGCAGGAAAATCGCTTGAAGCCAGGAGTTCCAGACCAACCTGCCCAACATAGCAAGACTCTGTCTCTACAAAAATTAAATTTTGCAGGGGCTGGTGGCTCGTGCCTGTGGTCCCAGTAGAGATAGGAGGATCACTTGAGCCCAGGAGTTGGAGGCTGCAGTGAGCCGTGATGGCACCACTGCACTCCAGCTAGGGCTACAGAGTGAGACCCTGTCTTCAAAAAAACCAAACCAAAACAAAAAAACAACAAAAAACTATTTACAAATGTATCTCTGTTCCCTTATTAATTCATTCTGCCTAGTAATCCCTGAACAGAATTCCTCCTTCTCCCACCCTCATAAGTCTGTTTTACCAGGAGGATATATATATAAGCTTCTGAACCCCTTTCGGGGTGGGTAATCACGCTGTGATTCTCCCCGTGTATACACTTTAAATACATTCGTATGCTTTATCTCCAATTAATCTGCCTTTTGTGAATTGATTTTTGAGCGACTCCTCAGGGGGCAAAGGGGAAGCTTCTCATTGGCTCCTACATTGTCATTTCTCCATTTAATTAGAAAAATACTTCAGGCCACGCGCGGTGGCTCACGCCTGTAATTCCAGCACTTTGGGAGACCGAGGCAGGCAGATGACGAGGTCAGGAGTTCGAGACCAGCCTGGCCAACATGGTGAAACCCCGTCTCTACTAAAAATACAAAAATTAGCCAGATGTGGTGGCAGGCACCTGTAATCCCAGCTACTCGGGAGGCTGAAGCAGGAGAATCGTTTGAACCTGGGAGGTGGAGGTTGCAGTGAGCCAAGATCACTTCACTGCGCTTCAGCCTGGGCAACAGAGCGAGACTCCATCTCAATTTAAAAAACAAAACAAGCCCTTTCTGGCGGTAACGACCTACCCACGAGAACATGCCTCTTGCAAAGGATCTCCTTCATCCCTCCCCCGAAGAGAAGAGGAAACACAAGAAGAAACGCCTGATGCGGAGCCCCAATTCCTACTTCATGGATGTGAAATGCCCGGGATGCTATAAAACCACCAGTCTTTAGCCATGCACAAACGGCAGTTTTGTGTGTTGGCTGCTCCACTTTCCTCCTACGGGAGGAAAAGTAAGGCATACAGAAGGATGTTCCTTCAGGAGGAAGCAGCACTAAAAGCACCCTGAATCAAGATGAGTGGGAAACAATCTCAATAAACACATTTTGGGAACAACAACAACAAAAAAACCCTTCAAAAAACCTAGGAACTCCAGATGACTTCCTCTGGGAATTGTCCCTTAATCCTTCATGAGGAGTCAGGAGATGACTCCTGTTTTTCAGGTGACAAAATTGGGGCACGGCAAAGGTGATCTGCCCACTTCATTCAAATCGCGAGCTAGACGCAGCGCAGGAACTCGAACCGCCGTTTTCCTTGCTTCCAAGAGTACAGGGACGAACCGGTGAGCAGAAGGCCTAAGAAGCCAGGAACAAGAGGTTTCCGCCCAGGAGGCACAGAATGAAACTCGCCGGTTGTTGGCCCCGCCCCACTTCGAAGCTCCGCCCAGGCCAAGAAGCGCGGGGGCGGGAGTGAGGGGCGGTTTCCATGGTGACGGCAAACAAGGCCCACACTGGACGGGGCAGCTGCTGGGCTGCTACTCTCGCCGCCGCCATGATTCCCCCCGCAGATTCTTTGCTCAAGTACGACACCCCTGTACTGGTGAGCCGGAACACGGAGAAACGGAGCCCCAAGGTAAGGACGAGGCCTCAGAGGACAAAGCCTCGAAACTCCGATGGGGAAAGACACGTTCCCGCACTGAGGGTCAGCAATCTCAAGGGACAGGGATTGCAGCGACTGGAAGTAAAGGGAATTGGGAAGTCGGAGAAGGAGGGTGAGAGGATTGTATAGGAAGCCCAGATGTTGGGTGTGACCCCAGAGGGCAGATTTAGGATGGGAAAGGAGGTCACAGGGAGATGGATGGGGCTCACTCTTCTTCATGGTACCCGGATCCAAGAATAGATGAGGTAGTGATTTCCCCATCACCGGATGTGTGAAAGCACATGCCTGAGCACATGTGCCAGAAACACTTGTTCAAGCATTGAGTTGGGACCGGACTTCATGGCCTCCTTCAGCTCTGTGACATAATTTCTGCTGAGAAGACCGACCCAAAGTAGGCTAGGAAGAGGGGAGGACTGTGCGGAAAACCTGGGGCAATCTACAGGTTGGGAATGTGTGGAGCTGAGCTCCTGAACCATTTCCTGCCCTCACCTGTGCCTTCATCTCAGGCTCGGCTACTGAAAGTCAGCCCCCAGCAGCCTGGACCTTCAGGTTCAGCCCCACAGCTACCCAAGACCAAGCTCCCCTCAGCTCCCTGTGTCCCAGATCCTACAAAGCAAGCAGAAGAAATCTTGAATGCCATACTACCCCCAAGGTAAGAAAGTAGGAGCAGTGGCTGGGAGAAGGCCTAGGCTTTTGCATCGTGGATTTTGGGAGTGTGGGAGGAGGCACTCTGCCTCCGTTCCTGGCTGGGGTTTTCTCCCAGTATCACAGAGCTCCTAGAACTTACATATGGCTGGATCCTGGCAGGCTGGTGGGAGACCTCTTCTCAATCTACCCTTGTTTCCTGCATGCTGTCACCCAATCTCATGGCTTTAGATACCACCTATGTGCCGATGGCTCCTAAATGTGTATTTCCAGCCCTGTCCTCTCCACTAAACTCCAGGCCCATGTAGTCTTCTACTTCCTCATTATCTTCATGAAGCTATCTAATAGACATCTCAAACTCAACATATTCAAACTAAATCGCAATTTCTTCCTCCCCCAGTCTGCTCTTCCCCCGTCTTCTGAGAACTTTTTACTAGGGACTCAAACCACCTTTCATTCCTTTTGGTCACTCTCACAGCATGTGTCCTATCCTTCGTCACATTCTTTTGGCTCCACCTTCAAATTCTTTCCCAAATCCAACCACTTTTCACCACCTCTGCTTCCATCATCTTGCTTCTCGTCACTGGTGGCCACTCGCACTGCTGCAATGGTCTCCTGTCTGAAAACACTGCTTCCAGTCTGCTCCTAATAGCTATCCTCCATACAGCCCCTAAGTCATAAGTCAGATCATGCCAGTCTCTGCCCAAAACTCTTTCATGGCTTCCCTTCTCAGACTAAAATCAAAAGTCCTTACAATGGCCTGGAAGATGTGGCATGATCTAGCCTATGATATATCCCTGACCTTATCTCCTGTTACTCTGTTTCTTGTTCACTGTTCACTGTGCTGAATCCACAGAGGCCTCACTTGCTATTTCTTTTCTTCTTTTTTTTTTTTAAATCGGAGTCTCACTCTGTTGCCCAGGTTGGAGTGCAATGGCGCAATCTCGGCTCACTGCAAGCTCCGCCTCCGGGGTTCACGCCATTCTCCTGCCTCAGCCTCTCGAGTAGTTGGGACGACAGGTGCCCGCCACCACGCCCGGCTAGTTTTTTGTATTTTTAGTAGCGATGGGGTTTCCCCGTGTTAGCCAGGATGGTCTTGATCTCCTGACCTCGTGATCTGACCACCTCGGCCTCCCAAAGTGCTGGGATTACAGGCGTGAGCCACCGCGCCCGGCCCTCACTTGCTATTTCTGAAATGCCTCATTCACTCTCCCATCACAGGGCCCTGACAGCTGGTGTTTTCACTGCCAAAGATGTTCTTCCCTTGATATTCTCCTGGTTCCTTTCATTTCTTCACTCAGGTTTTTCTCAGATGTCATTTCTTCCAGGAGGCTCTCCTTGAGAATTCGCTATAGCACAGCACCCCTGCCCAACATGATCTCCTCTTCTTGCTTTTTGCTTCTGCAGCAACATGCCTTTTCATCTATTTTTATGTAATAAGTTGACAGCACAGTTTGTAAGGCTATGAGGAAAAGGGAAAACAGTGAAAGACAGACTGTCATCTCCTCTGAGGTGGAGGTCAAAGGATGGGGGTCACTTTTCAGTTGATTCCCTCCCACCAATGATGCAGAAATCCTCTCCCCCATGGCAGTTTTGCCTTCAAACTTCCTCCATGTGATTCCACAACCTGGCCATCTCTGCCACAAGGTTATTGTGGGGGCCTATGCAGGCACACACCTTCACGAACCTCCCCACCCCTGATACACACATCTGCCTCTTTCTCACTCACACAAGGTTCATGATGTCCTGTGTTTCCCACCCCATAAGTTGGTGGGTAGTTCCTACTGTTCAGATCAAGCAACAACCATAAATCGGTCTTCAACATGTTAGGAGGGTAAGATCTGAAATGGTGGGGAATGATTTCACAGAGGCCCATTGCCGTGGTGGAAATTGTCCACTACCTACCCATTCCCGAGGTCCCTACGGAGGCAGCATAGCGGGTGTGGCTTTGGAACCTCACATCCCAAGGGATGGAGGATTCTGGGTTGGTGGCAAAGCTGCCCCTCACTGCTGCTCAGGCAGAGGGCTCAAAGGGCCCTCTCTGCTCATGTGCTGGGGACCCTCGAGTCAATGGGTTTTGCTCAGTCTCGCTGTGTCTGCCACAGGGAGTGGGTGGAAGACACGCAGCTATGGATCCAGCAGGTGTCCAGCACCCCTAGCACCAGGATGGACGTGGTGCACCTCCAGGAGCAGTTAGACTTAAAGCTGCAGCAGCGGCAGGCCAGGGAAACAGGCATCTGCCCTGTCCGCAGGGAACTCTACTCACAGTGTTTTGGTGAGTGAGCCAGGTGAGGGGTGGACACTACACACCCTACTGCTCCCTTCCCTTCACCTTCAGCACAGATCCAAGCCTGAGCACCCTACAGCTGGAGCCCATCTCATACTGGAATCCCCTTTTCTCCCTCTGCCTGACCCACCCAGCAACAGCTAACTGCCCTCTTCCCCTTCCCAGCTGAAGGGGGTCAGCCCCTCCACACCTGTGGGTATCTCTCGTCAGGCAGGACAAGAGACTGAGAAAAGAAATAAGACACTGAGACAAAGTATAGAGAAAGAAAAGTGGGCCCAGGGGACCAGTGCTCAGCATACGGAGGACCCGCACCGGCACCGGTCTCTGAGTTTCCTCAGTATTTATTGATTACTATGTTCACTATCTCAGCAAGAGGAACGCGGCAGGAGAGCAGGGTGATAGTGGGGAGAAGGCCAGCAAGAAAACATGTGAGCAAAGGAATCTGTGTCACAAATAAGTTCAAGGGAAGGTACTATGCCTGGATGTGCACGTAGGTGAGATTTTTGCATCTCTCCACCCAAACATCTCAGTGGAGTAAAGAGTAACAGATCAGTGTTGCGGCCAACATGTCTCGCCTCCCACCACAGGGCGATTTTTCTCCTATCTCAGAATAGAACAACTGTACAATCGGGTTTTATCCTGAGACATTCAGTTCCCAGGGGCAGGCAGGAGACAGAGGCTTTTGTTTTAACGGCAAGAGGCCTTCCTCTTTTACTGATCCTCCTCAGCACAGACCCTTCACGGGTGTGGGGTTGAGGGACAGTCAGGTCTTTCCCATCCCATGAGGCCGTATTTCAGGCTATCACATGGGGAGAAACCTTGGACAACATCTGGCTTTCCAGGGCAGAGGTCCCTGCCCTGGAACTCCCTGCACAGCTTTCCGCAGTGCATTGTGCCCCTGATTTATCAAGAATGGAGAATGGCGATGACTTTTACCAAGCATACTGCCTGTAAACATTTCATTAACAAGGCACATCCTACACAGCCCTACATCCCTTAAACCTTGATTCCATACAACACATGTTTCTGTGAGCTCAAGGTTGGGGCAAAGTTACAGATCAGCAGCATCTCAGGGCAAAGCAATTGTTCAGGGTACAGGTCAAAATGGAGTTCCTTATGTTTTTCTTTTCTACATAGACACAGTAACAGTCTGATCTCTCTTTCTTTTCCCTACACCAGCCCCACCTCTTCTACAAGTCCTCCAGCTGCCAGCCACTGTATTCTTGGCAACTTGAGTTCCTCACCCCCTTAGCAGATGTTTGGAGTAAAACGAGAACTTCCATCTGGTTTTCCAAAGTTTTCTGTAATAAGCATGTGCTAATTTTTTAGTCAGAAAGATTAATGTTCAGTATTTACATCCATCCATCCACGAATATTTGGCCCTTGGTCCAGAAAAATATTGTGATTTGTTGTTAACCGACAGACACGAGAGATTTAAGATGCACCTCCTTGAGTGCTGGTGTCAAATGGCTGTCCCCCGGCCCAGTCTCACTGGCTCTTATGGGTGCCAATCTGCAAATCACCTTCAAACCCTCAGGCAGCTGCAGGGTTTAGCAGGCTGCCCTATCCGTGTGTTGTTACGCTTCGCCCTCCAGGTCAGCATTTATGGGGAGATAGGTGGGCAAGCTCTAGACATTGCCATTTCCAGCCTCAAACCAGTGCAGCCAAGGGGGCACACAGGATGTCCCAGCTGCTTTAAAACAGCTGCCATGTTTAAACAGAAAAAGTCAGGTTTTTTCGAATAGTAACCAGTTTTTACCAAAGGCCAGAAGGGAGGGGACCCAGTGCTGCAAACAAACCAGAGCCTCTTGTTTCCTTTGCCCTGGACGACCCAGGTTTGCTGACTCTGTGCTACTCACAAGTGCCAAGTTCAGAGGAGTCACTGCATGGCAAGGCTCTTTGGGCCACTGAGGGCAGCCTCCCTGAGGCCCTTCTCTGAGGCTTTGTACTTTGTCTCCAAGTGAGAACACCCTAATGTCCTTCCCAAGAGGAAGGGTTTTTGCAGTAGACACAGTGCAAGCCCCCTCCCCACGCCCTGTCTGATCTCATGGTGTGTGTGCATTGGAAGATGAGTTGATCCGGGAGGTCACCATCAACTGTGCGGAGAGGGGGCTGCTGCTGCTGCGAGTCCGGGACGAGATCCGCATGACCATCGCTGCCTACCAGACCCTGTACGAGAGCAGCGTGGCGTTTGGCATGAGGAAGGCACTGCAGGCTGAGCAGGGGAAGTCAGACATGGAGAGGAAAGTGAGTGGGGTTTACCGTGACCCTTGGCCCCGTCTCTTCTGTAAACCGCAGGGCCATGTGCTTGTCATTCCAGCACTACATTCTGGCCTCCTAAGGTGCTCTCCTGACAGTCACGACACTTGGACCTGCATCACCTCAGTGAGGGACCCCTGGTTGAGTATGATGGCCAGCCTGGTGGTCTTGGCAGAGTTGTCTCCGCTGTGGACGCTCCATGCCAGGCACTGACCTCCCACTGGGTGGCAGTATATACCCTGGCAGTGTCTTATGTCCCATATCCCTTCCACCCAGGCTCACACCATTCCATTCACCTGGCAACATCCCAGGATGACTGGTCATTCTCTCCTCAGATTGCAGAATTGGAGACGGAAAAGAGAGACCTGGAGAGGCAAGTGAACGAGCAGAAGGCAAAATGTGAAGCCACCGAGAAGCGGGAGAGCGAGAGGCGGCAGGTGGAGGAGAAGAAGCACAATGAGGAGATTCAGTTCCTAAAGCGGACGAATCAGCAGCTGAAGGTAATCAACGCACAGGCTGGGGTGGAGGTGCCCACTGCCCCAAGACCCAGCCCCACGGGCCAGGCATTCGGTTCCTTTTCCATGGCTTTTAACTGTTTGTCCACATGCACTGCCAAAGAATAAAGGAAGCTGACTTTGGTGGTGGGAGAAGGGGAGGGCTCCAGAGGGGGTCTCCACTCTCAACTCCAAATCTCTGAGGCGCCTCAGCCTGGCTCTCTAGTGGAGGATTCTTCTCCCTGGAAAAAAGTTGCCCATCCTCAAGGAAGAGGTGGATATGGCAAAAAGTGAAACTCCGTTCCCCTTGAAGCTGGTATGTTGGAGCCTTCCTGGGGGAGAGCGGGGCTCCAGCTGGCTTGCGTGGTAGTGCTGTCCCATGGCTGTCTCCTCTGAGGCACTGTTTCAGGGCATAACCAGGGAAGAAGTCAGAACCAGTGGGCAGCAGGGCCCTTTGAGAGGAAGAACCATTTCAAATCAGAAACCTTCCCCAGGAATGTGGTCGGGGAACCCAGGCCTAGGTGCTCTTCCTCGAAGCCCAGTGCCAGCAGTGGTCTTTTATCCGGCTGAGGTCACGGGAGGGAGGGGGCTGCTGGACACAGCTGGGCAGGAGGCCATGCTACAGGCACTGCACCTCCCCGCTGTTTGGTCCAAAGGTTCTCAAAAGGTAGGCCCCAGACCAGCATCGTCCTCACCTGGCAAACTAAGCAAGACAAATTATTGGACCCACCCCAGATCTACCGAATCAGAAAATTTGAGGTTGGGGTTCAGCAATGTGCTTTAACAAGGTCTCAGGTGATTCTAATGTTTACAAAAGTTTGAGCATCACTGTTCTGGACAGATAACCTACTGACATTTAGTGGCTTTTTCCCATGGCCCTGGCCAAAGGACCCTGGATGGATCTCCCTTTCCTCCCTAGACTCAGATAGAAACCTTACAGTCTTGACATTGGCAGGCTTGTTAGGTCTGCACACCAGCAGGACTGGCCATTTGCAATAAAGAAGGCTTTCTATTAACCACTACTGGAACTTTTCTTGTTGCTGAAAAGTTAAACAAAAAGAAAAGCAAGAAACTTTCACAGCCATAGATGAATCTGTTTCCTTAGCAGACTCTGAGGCTGCTTTCCTTAACTGCCATATTCTTTTTTCACAAGCCTGAGTTCCCCAGTTCTTCCTGGATTAGCAACAAGAGCAAACCAAATACCTTAGCATATTTCTAACATTTAAAAGCAATCTTGCAATCTCCAGGGTGAAAGATTCTTTAGAAGT